CTGTTCCGACATAAAAACACATTTATCGGGCGTCATAACCTAACTGAATTCCGGATTAAAACAATTTCCAATTCACTTTTCCTTGTTTTTAATCAAAATTTTGTTAGGAAACTCGAAATAAATTTCCAGACACAATTGAATTTGGTCAACACCTAGCTTTACGTCAATTCCCCGAAAAAAAAAAGTTGATCTGAACCCGAAAATTTGTGTATACGTAGAAAATAATTACTGGGAAAGTAATAAATCCATGAGAAAATTTGTGTACACTTTTTGCTTTTTGGAAAAATGGAAAACAAAACACGAAATTTTGGGAATATTCACTGAATAGTTTAGCGTCTGGAAAGTGCTGTATACTAGGAATTTCGGGGAGAAAATGGAAGATTCTGGAAAAGTGATTACCGTAATTCCTGTAATTTAGGCTTACTTCGTTCAAAGCAGCATATCTCGGTTAACTTTGAATCTATCAAAAAGTTTTTAACTAGTGAATTGTTTGAAATTTTTTGCTTAACATTTCTTTAGTTGATTACTTTTTGATAACTTCGAAGACAACAGAGAAAAGATGCTCTGAACATACATCGTTCCTAAATTTCAGAATTTACAGTGTATGCTATCGAACAGTGAGATATGCAAATGCACTTCAATGAGCAACGAGAGAAAACGTCCGTACGTCCGTCAGATTTTGAGTAAGAAATATGGTAATTATACAAAATCGCGTTGAAATTTTTCTGCATATCTCTTATGCAAATATTTTTCTAAACACCCCAGACCGAAATTTTCAGTAACTATCATCAATTCATAACCCTTTTGGCCTCTTTTTGACGTTCAGCACTTTTCCAGACCAACCTGATTTGAAAATAGGACGATATACCAGTATTGTTGGGGCCCCTATGATTTTCCTACCAGTTACAATTCGAAAAAAAAAAGCTGTAACTCACCAAACGGATTGAATGGGTCACGAAGGATGCATTGACTGCACGCCGATCGAACACAGAACAGGTTACCCGGTTTGCAGAACGCCTGGATTGAGTCACTGGTGCACGCGGTGTTCACGCCTGGAAAGGGATTTTCGTGCTCTTCTTGGTGTCATTTTCCACTTTTTTCAATATTGGGAAGTTAATTCCACATTTTGTGTATTTCCCCTAGCGCTTGGTGCCGATTTTTCGACCCCCTCTCGAAAATTTCTCGTCCTTGCCGTTCAAAAATCTCTCTTCCTATCTCTCATTTTTCGTTCTTCTGGAAGGCACTAAAAGCTATTACACCAATCTTTTTCCCGAGTTTTGATTTATCATTCATTTTCCTCAAGAGCCCCCGAGAGACCTCTTATTACACTTTTCGGAAACCCTATACCTCCTGGCGCCAGCGCTTGGAGGCAAAGGACCCTAGCGCCAGGGGCTGTTACACAAAATGAACTTTTTTTTTTGGTTTTTTGATTTTTCTGAAGGTTCCTAGCAAGATTTGCTCAAAAATTTCCCAGAAAACACTTAAGACACGCCCCTTAACTGATTAACTCACCAATGACTGGTCCCGGTCTTGGAATCGCGTGGGCTCCGACAAGGATAATGAGAAGAAACAGAGCGGTGGACGAGATGAATGAGCTCATTTTTGTAGAGTTTTGAGAGTACCTGGAATAGTGGGATTATGAGATTTTTAGGGGAAAAACGGGAAAAATAACGAGAAGCAGTTGAAAAAAAAAGACAGGTTGGACCCTGAACCCCTGACCACCCAATGTTCAAAGCATCATATCTCCCTTGTCTTTAGAGCTATCAAAAAATTTTCAACTGATGAAATGTTTAAAATTTAATAATAAACATTTCTTTAGTTGACCACTTTTCAAAATTCTTAAAGACAATCGAGATATAATGCTCTGAACTGAGTGAGCCCCTAATACAGACTCTACTGCGCCCATTCTTATAAAAAAAAGTTGAGAAATCCCAAAGCCAAGATATTATTCAGAATAAATAAAATATCCGAAAACATAATCAGCGCGACCCGGAAAGGGGCGGAGCCTCCTTCTCTAGCTCCTCAAAAGGTGAAAAAGTGGGCGGAGCTTTCCAGAACCAGATTTGGTCCCGGAACTAGATCAGAGTTCTAATATTCATGGGAATTCTAGAGGAATTTTCTTTCGGAAAGCATGATGTGGAGAAGAAAACTGATGTTTAGAAAAAATGGAACACTTAGAAAAAAAAATTTCCAGATAAGCTTGTGATCCGCTAGGATGAACATGCTGGTTTGGCTTATGATAATAATGATGACTGTGCCAAAAAACAACAATGATGTATTGCACCTGGAATGCAATACTGGAAAAAAGAAGATCAAAATGACTCCTAACCCTCACTTTTATAGAGCCTTCTGATCACTTGACACAGAAATTCTAGAAGTTTGGAGTCAGAATCATCAGAATCTTGAAGATTCTGGAGCGTTTTGCGTCAGAAAGTGATCAGAATGCAATTCGTGCAGCTTAGAAGAATCTAGCCTAGAAAGTGGTCAGGCTACAAGAAGATTCTGGAGCACGGGTGCGTCAGAAGGTTTGGTCCTGAAGCCCAGAGCTCTGGAGGGAGAGCTCACTGCGTCAGGAGCCTAGAAAATGAGCAAGATACAATTGATAGCAAATATGAGCTTTATGAGTAAATAGGTTGGTCACGCTACAAAACTTTTGGGCATGATCTTAACATTGGTGAGCTCAGAATTTGGTTAGAATACAATTGATAGCAATTATCGGCTTTAAAAATACATTTTTAGAATTTTCTGGAGCGTTTTGCGTCAGTATCTGGATCATTCTGTGTCAAATGACCAGTAACGTCACAGAACCTTGATCACATAGGTAGAAAAAAAATTTTGGAAACAAAAAAAAACCAAAGAATATAGATAACCATGGGATCCTTTTAAGCGCTTTTTGTAGAGCCTGAACTTAGGAAAATGTTCAAAACTAAGAGGCACTTCAGAATTCAAAAAGAAGGAAAAGAGTAAAGACCCGAGACGTTAAAAAATAACTTTGCGAGTTTTGGAGAGCACATGACTATTTGTGACGTCAAGAGCTCTTTAAAAATTGGACTAGGCTTAACTGTAGTTTATTGCCTTACATACTTCATAACTAGCAAAAGTTAGGGTGCCTCACAAATCATAAGACAGCACCATAAGTTCAGAGCAATGTAGCTTGGTTGTCTTAAGCGCTATCAAAAAGTGGTCAATTAAAGAAATGTTCATTAAAACATTTTAAACATTTCATTAGTTAAAAACTTCTTGCTAGCTTCAAAGACAACTGAGATATGCTGCTTTGAACACAGATCACCTCTACAACAGAACTGGCTCTCAGTACTGTTTGTTCAGAGCAGCTTAACTCGGCTGCCGTTAGAGATATCAAAAAGTGGTAAACTAACAAAATGTTCATTGATAAATTTTAAACGTTTTATTGGTTGAACACTTTTTGATATCTCTTAAGACAAGGGAGATATACTGCATGCAGTACTGAGTGTGCCTCTGGTATGGGAACTACGGTAAATTGTCTCAAAAACAGTGAGAACTCTGGAAAAGCTGTGCGCGCCTTTAAGGTAAAATAGGGTCATACCACAAAATACACAAAAAAAACCTTTCACAAAGATCTGTTTTCCTATCCGTCATTCACAAAAAGTACCGGATATAAGTATTTAAATGTGACTCAAAAAGTTCTCTCCCTTCTCCTAAAAGACAAAGAAAACCCCATGACATATGAATGACACGGGAAAAAAAAAGAGAAATTTATTTATCTGGTCTCGATTTCACTGAAATTGAGCTAGAAATTTCGTATAGCTCTTGGAGCTCCTGCTCCAGGGGGCTCCTGGAAAAATGTCAATTTAATCCCCGGGTCCATCTAGTGGGGTCAAATTGAATTGGTCGGAGAAATGGAATTCTTGTTTTTTCAAAAAAGGAGTACACATCATTCCGAAACATTTTCATATCTTTTTAGAAATTCTATTCAAATTTTCACTCGGAATAAAAAATTGGGAGAAGTGATGTATATGCGATCTTTCGGTTTACTTTTCTAGTGACCTTAAAGGCGCATCATGGGAACAAGGTAGGTCAAAAAATCTCATTTAGTAAGATCAAGCTATATATACATTCTTGGAACCAAAACCTTAGAAAACTGGCACCCAACTTCACCCTTACCCCTTTATTCTTTTATATCACAAGAAGTGTTTCTGATTGAATAGGGAGAAAATGAGTTGTACGACGTAATCAGAAGGTAACACCAACAAATGCACGTATTGTCGTTGTGGAAAACTTTTCTTCGAGAAGATTCTGGGATTATGACGAAATTATGAAGGTGTGCGGGTATAGACAGCTACGTGGGAATCTTTCGAAGAATGATCAAGACCAAGAAGTTAGCCTTAAAGGCGCATGGGACAGAATTCTTCTATGCGCCTTTAAGGTAAATGAACTTCTGGACTCATTTGCCGAGAAAATATGAGAAAAATGACTTCTAGTGCGCCAAGGACCCATAATTGCTTTGCTGCCAAAATTGGAAATTTCGGAGAAACAAAAGAAAATGAAAAAGTGATGTCACACGGACTCCCTGACCTACCTAATAATACCTGCGTTTACCTCAAAACCAGGGCCCCCAATAATCCAAAATTTATAAGAAAATGTGGGCGACTAGAGGACCACTTGAATTTTAAAATCCCGCTTTTTTTCGACCCCCTTTTGCTCTATTTCGAGCTCCCATCCAAGGAAAATTCAAGGAGAGAATCTCCGCAGTGATGCGGGTGAAAAAGAACAATGGATTTCTTGACACACGCCGGAAATGACTCCCGGAGACAATAGGAAATGGATCACATGGTCCGTTTCCGGCGACGAGTCATGAGCAATCTTTGATGATTATGGATAGGAAATTGGTGTAGATCAGGTGGGATTTTTCAGATTTTTCAGATTTTTCAGCAGCAAAAAAGTGGTGAAAAATGACGTTAACCTGTCTGGAAATTTTCAGAGATCGTGGTGACGAAAAAAAAAAGAAAAAAAAAAGAAATTGACCCCAATGGGGTTCGAACCCGCGTTGACAGTTTCCAAAACAGCAGCGCTAGCCACTAGGCTGCGAGGTCAACAGCCATAAAAGGGGTAGTTTGCCTAGAAGTTGCCGCGGCCTCGCGCCTTTTTCTCGAGGTAAGCGGGCCATACAGAGGAACACTCAAAAAAGACCATTTGGGAAAAAAACCGTTCCCCCGCCAAAACACAAATTTTGCTCCCAATAAATACTCCACAATCACCTGCCCCACATCCAGCACGAACAGTATACTCTTGATGTAACACGTGTGTGTTTTTGACTCATTTCTAGTCATGGGCCAGAGCCACCCACCAATTCTTCACGCCTCCTGAAAAAGTCAAAACACGCATCTGAAAAATAGAAAGAATGCGTGACGATATCGGTCACTTGGGACTTATTATTGAAAAGAATATATACGCGAAAGAATAAATAATAGTGATGAATTATTCGCATGTTATTGTGTTTTGTTTTGCAGAAAAATGGGTTCTGAGGAAGCTTATTGCACTGGCGGAAAGGTCAAAAGTTCCGATTTTCACTTTCGTCATCGTAGCCACCAAGAAAATCCTGTAGTTCAGTTCACAGCAGCATATCTCGGTTGCCTTTAGAGCTATCAAGAAGCAGTCAGGAGAACCATATGTTTAGAGCAGTATATCTCGATTGTCTTTGGAGCTATCGAAAAGTGGTCAACTGAAGAAATGTTAAGCTAAACAATCTAAACATTTCACTAGTTGAAAATTTTTTGATAGCTCCAAAGATAACCGAGATATGTTGCAGCAAACATCCAGCACTTGTTATGTCCCCCCCCCCCCTCGCACCTCTCTTCTCACCCTCCGTTTCCCTCTCTCTTATAGTTACCCTCTCCTCCCTCTCCTCCCGTGCCGTCGATAGCTCAGTTGGTAGAGCGGAGGACTGTAGAGTCAGTGGGTATCCTTAGGTCGCTGGTTCGAATCCGGCTCGACGGATTTCTTTTTGTTTTTTTTTCTTTTTTGTTTTTCGTATCCTAGTTTGCCAGTTTTCTAGTTTTAGAACAGTAAAACCACCTGTAGTTATTTTTATACCAAACTACGCCCAAAATAGATTGGTTTTTTGCAAGACAAAAACAAAACGAAAAATCAAAAAATCATGATCACATTTATTTTCTTTAGAGATTGTGCCTGGAAGGGTTCAGAAGTGTTTTTTCAGAGAAACTTGAGTCCGACAAGACTCAGATCAAGTCCTGAGAGCATCGCTTGCATATCGAATTTCAGCTCCGTTCCACCGGCGTCCGCAACGACGACGAGCTGATTTTTGTCCGCTTTTGGATCGGTTAGAGTGGAGAATTCCTGGAAACCAGGGTTAAAAGGAATTATTTGAAATATTTTGATCTACCGTAGACAAATCACATGCCGGCAACGGGGAGACACCCTCGGGGATTGTGGCATAGTTCGAGGCGCTAACCATTTCAGTGTCGATGAAGGATCCACTCTGGAAAAATAGAAAAAAAAGAGAAAAATGAGCCAAAAACCAGAAATTCGTCTTACCGACGCAGTAAAACTAGGCGGCTCATCAGTCGAGGTGGCATCCGTGCTCGAGTAGTCATCAGTGTCAATTGGCTTCAAGTAAACCAGTTCCGCCTTTGGTCTTGGGATTTTCGATGGAGATGAGTACGAGTTGATTGATTTCTGTGGAGACGGATGCACTTGATATCCTTTCTGGAGGATTGGAATTCTTGATGGAGATGGTTTGGTGGGGATACTCGGAATTTCACAATCCGTCTCATCACCAACTCCCGAACTGGCCACTTCCAATTCGGCCGCTTGATTCTCGGCGGCACGAGCAGCACGTCTTCTAGCCTTGGCACGTCTTCCCATTTCTTCTGAAACAATTTCAGCCTCTAATCTCGAATAATCTTGAGTACAAACCAATTAACTCCTTCTCAGATTGCCCAAAATGATCCTGACTGAATGAAAGTGCAGTCACGCAATTGGCGTCGAGCAATCTGAAACCAGAGAGGAAATTGGAGCAATTTCCGGAGCAATTAGATAAAGAAGAAGAGAAAAAAGAAAGTGATCTTACTCGATCTCCGAGTTCGTGTAGCCGATGGCCTGAAAAAATGGGATTTAGGGAATAAGGAAGGGTTTTGGGAGGGGAGGATCAATAAAAAAAAAGAAAAAAAGAATTTGGACCCGCGGGGATTCGAACTCGCGATAAAAAATTGGAAAACAAGAGCACTAGCCACTACGCCATAAGTCAAACAGCTGTGTTATAGGTAGAAGGCGGTGAAGTTGTTTCTCTCTTTCTCTAGGGGCTTCTCACAGCCGGTACTCTATGTTCAAAGAAGATTATCTCGCTTGCCTTGGAAGTTATAAAAAAGTAGTCAACTAAAGAAATATTAAGCAAGCCATTTTAAACATTTTACTATTTGAAAATTTTTTGATAGCTCTCAAGAAAACCGAGATATGATGCTGAGAACACAAATTATCCCTATTTCAGGGTTGCATTTATGTTCAGAGCCGCATATCTCGGTTGTTTTTACAGCTATCAAAAAGTGACCAACTGAAAAAATATTGAGCAAAACATTTTAAACATTTTACTAGTTGACTACTTTCCGATAGCTCTGAAGACAGCCGAGATATCCTGCTCTGAAAAAACACTGCTGCCTTAAACTAAATCACCGGAGTCAAAGTGAACAAACCCAGCAAAAACCAACAAAAAACGTACATAACCAAACCTAAAAACGTGTCAAAAAGCGCCACAAGACCACCCTCGCTCTACGGGAAAAACCGCCTATTAGATTAAAATCTGACCCGAAAACCACTAAAAACATAAAAGATTCGGATCTTTTGGAGGGGAGACTTACCGTTCCAATCGCTTCTTCACTCGACATCTCACTTTCCCTTTTCTTTTCTTTGGTAGTTATTTTCGAATAACCGATTATTCCTTCCTTGAACAATGCCGAGAAATGGTTGAAATTTCGAATTGAAGTTCACGGAAAGACGTCGAGAAATAGGCGGAACTCACGTTGGGAAAATGTCAAATTTTGTGAATTTTTTGATTTGATGAATCAGAAGAATTTTTTTCAAAAGAATAGAGAAGAAGCCCTTTGAATGCTCATCAAAATTTATTATTACATTTATAGAAAAAGAAAAAATTGGAAAAAAAAGAAAAAAGAGAACAATCAGAATGAATCATGATGTTTTGAACACTACAGAAGAAATACAGAAGAAGAAAGGGAAGAATCGAAATAAAAACATTTAGTCAATAATTTCTGCGAGGAAGATAATGCAAACCTCCTTTCCTTGATCCGGACGGGTGAGTTGCCAATTAACTTGAATAACATCGCCGGAAGGATGATTTTCCGTGATGGCTATCGACTGCTCGAACTTCTGGGCTTCTCCGGCGACGATTGGGCATTTGACTCCTGGAAATTAGTGGGTTTAAAGTGGAAAATAGGTTTTGAAAAAAAATTTTGACCCAAAAGAAGTTCTAGGTTAGGGGTAAAAAAAGCGGCTTTTTTCTCCTTCCTCATAGTTGGGAAGTGCCAAGATTTCGGAAATTGAGGGGAGTTCCTTGAATTTTTGGAATTTTTTCTGACGAAATAATCGATTTGGACTTTTTAAAGGTCCGAAATAGTCTACTAGATAAGCTAAGCGCTTTTTTCATTGAAGTTTTTTTTTTTCAACAAATAATTATTCGTTCATTGCCGTAAGTTTTGTAATATAGGCAGACTGTATGTTTAGAGCAGCATATCTCGGTTGTCTTCAGAGCTATCAAAATATTATCAACTAAGAAAATGTTAAGCAAAACATTTTAAGCATTTCACTAATTAATAACTTTTTGATAACTCCAAAGACAACTGAGATATGCGGCTCTGTACACAAATCGCCTCTTGTACATGACTGGCTTACAGTACAGTAGGTTCAGGGCAGCATATCTCGGTGGTCTTTGAAGTTATCAAGAAGTAATCAACTAAAGAAATATTGAGCAAAAAATTTCAAACATTTTACTAGTTGAAACATTTTTGATAGCTTTAAATACAAGCGAGATATGCTGCTCTTTCAGGATTTTCATGACAAACAAAACATGAAAACCAATTTTTTTTTTTGATTTTCAACTGATCTTATCTACCAAACGCTATATAATTAATCCCATTTTTTTCTAAATCAAAATCAAACACTCACCGTAGGTGCAAGCATCCGAATTGGTTTGCGGGAAGTCGACCATAGCGGATCCTCCGACCTTGGCTCTCACAGACGTCTTCAACTTCTCGGCGGCGACACTCGGCTTGAACTGAATTTGGATGACGGGACGAGTGCCCTTCTTAAAATTACACACTTTCTTGCCATCCTTGATCACCAATTGGCAGCCGTCAGCCTTCACCATCGACACCTCCGAAGCCGCCTTGCAGGTCTTCCACCCGATTTCGATGAATTCGGCGGAAGCGACGGCGGCCAGGCATGCCAAGATGAGGATCGTCCTCATCGCTGGAAATTTAGCAAAGGTTTTGACATTCGAAGAATGTTTTTGAGGAAAAAAATCAGAAGAAGAAAAAAACCAAAAAGAAAATAAAAATTTGGCACCAAAAGTCCAAGCAAAGGCCCCTCCGGTCGCAGGCTTGTGTGCCACACAATGACCCGACCCATCTCTTCTTACCTCACCCCATAGGAACAGTTGTCCCACTTGCTTCTCTACCCCCTCTGATTTTTGTTCGCTATCTCTCATAGGCCACGCCCCTTTCTCACAAAGCTCAAAGCTCTCATGATTTATTGGTGTTGGAAGATGAAGGAGGCGAAGAAAAAGAAGAGAGGTGGAATGGGATGGGATGTATATATCACACATATTGCGATCGGGAGAAGGGAATGTGAAAAAATAAAACAAAACGAAAAATCAATAATTTATAAAAGTGGAATATCGTCATCAATGGCAGCGATTGAGGAGCCATCACCGAGTAGAGAGTCACCGGAGACTGGCGTCGAGATTAGTTGTTCGCTGGAAAATTTATAGGTTTTTGGGGTAGAAAATGGTCTAAATGGGGGTTTTCAAGTTTTTTTTGGCTCTGTTCGAAAATGGAGGGCTCAA